TTTTTTTTTTTTTTGCTGTGTGAGCACATATCCCAACTGAACATGGATTGAAAACATTTGCTTCCTATTCCATCAAAATGAGGAGACCTTTCCAGGCTAAACTCTTTCAGATGGCCTGTTAATGAGTGACTCATAAATAATAAATATCATTGATAGTGGCTTTTAGAAATTCTCTAAGCTCTCTAGAATTTGGTTTCTCTCCATCTGTACATTGGGGCTGTGACAGCTGCCATTCTCCATGGAACTGGGAAGACTGAATAAGGAAATAGCACCCAAAAGCTTTGTTAAGTTCAGAGAGCTAACTCTTGTTGGTAAGGGCATTCTTCAGATCTTTTGGGGTCAGGTAATTATACCCACTCTCTGTGTGTGTACACAGCACTGGACAATAGTTTCCACAATTCATAGAAAAGATAATTTGTTACAATCATTGTGGAACACTAGAACTGTCTGAGGGTGAATCTACATGCACTATAAAAGGGGAGTGAAGGCCTTCAGGCACACTGTGATGAAATATGGCAAGAGTGGATGTTGGCTTTCAATCCGAATGCCTCACAGTGATAATTGCCACTTTTTAAAATGCAAATGCTTATCCATGTTTTTTGAGAAAAAAAAAAACGTAAAAAGAAGGAATAAGTTAGTTGTCATTCTAACAAAACTGGAAGAATCTGGAAAGGAGTTGGCAGAGAGAATGATCCCTTTCCCTCGCTTTTTACAGGCTTTGCTTTTGGAAATTTTAGTATTTTTGTGAAAGACGACATGGATTGTTCTAGTGACCAGCAGCTAATTGGTGATATGGGAGAGACTGACATCCACATTAAACAAACAAACAAACACACAAACAAACCAGATGAGATTTCCATAGCTCCTTGAGGTGTTTGTTCACAAATTAAGTTCATAGTTAAGCAAATTGAGGAATATTTACTTATATAAGTTTTGTAGAGCTTTCTTTCTTTCTTCCTGGAGGAGGCTGGATTGATGAAGGTGAAATTGGTATAATCAGGAATAACATAAATGTTGTTCAATAACAAACCCACTGAAATGTTATGAATAATCTAAAATTTCGAATTCTTATTATACTCTATTTATTGAGCACTTACCCTTTGTCAGTAACTGTGATAATGGCATTCCATAAATTATTTTATTTATCTCACTCCATCTCTCTGAAGGAGGCGATTTTAGTTTCCCATTTTTACAGATGAAGAAAATGGCCAGAGGCACACAGCTCATAAGGGGGATTGTAACCCAGATTTGTCTGATGCCAAAAACCATAGCACTTCATCACTAGTCAGGAAAAAAAATACAGGGATAACTGAGAACAAAGCTTGCTTTATACAGAATTATAACTAAGGGGATAGAGCTCACAAGTAACTCTGATGATATAATTAAAGTAGAGAAGACAATATTTTTCTTTTCTTTGGAGAAGGAACACAAAGAGGTCATGGGGGGGGGGGGAAGACATCTTCCCAGCTGATGTCCCCAAACCAGTATCAATGTCTCATCAGACCTCCCTTGGCCTCTCTTTTGAAAGGAGCACATACATTCTGTTTCTATCATATGACCTGTCACAATTTGAAAATGCTCATTTATATACACAAGAATCCCCCCACCCCCAGCTTTTCTAAAGTTCCTATCACACCACTTTACTTTTACAAAATATTCACAGTAAGTGCCTGTTTTCACAAACTAAAAAAAATCGGAAGAATATTTTCACTTTTATGAAAAAGACAAGAAGTGAAAATAGTGTTCAGCTTTGTTTTGCAGTGAACGCTTCTTGAGGCAGAAGGCCTGAGCAGCAAGAGGGGCCCTACCAGGCTCCTTCCCCCAGAACTACACTCAGCACCTCAGCAGCAAGATGCCATAGCTTTGAACTATCTGTGAGCATCTGTGCTTTATCTTGACTTTTCTTGTGTATCCATTGGCAAAATATGTCCTAAGGAAAAGCCCAAGAGAGGTTATTTTTGGGGTCTGGGAATGCTCAACATTTTTTTTCATATAAATTAATGGTAATTGCTTCTTTGCTTTATGCCATTTTGGCTCAAGAAAGGTTCCATAGGAATGTTCTTCTTTTGGATAGCAGGGAAAACCTGTATATTTGTTTCATGTTTATTTTGCTCATTTCATCATGAGATCCATGAGTACTGGTTCCCAGTTGGTTTTGTTCCCATTGTATCCCCAACACCTCATAGTCCCAAGCACATAGTAAGCACACCAAAATCAGTAGCAATAAAAAAGCTTTATTGAGCACTTACCGTGTGCTAGGCCCTGTTCCAAACACTTTACATGTATTATCTCATATCAACATTAGCACGGGTCTCTGCTCATATTAGACTCAGTGGGAGGTAGTGAATATACTCTGTGTGGATTCTTTTACCCATCCCTGGTTCTTTTCACTCTGTCTTACAGCTCCACTCCTTGCCTTTTTCATGTGTTTTCGTCACACAGCCCGCCGCAATGCTATTATTTATTTATTTATTCTTGATTGTTTGCTTGTTTATT